ATTGAGAAGTCTGCTGTGATTCTGATGGGTTTTCCTTTGTAGGTGATTTGTTTCTTTTCTCTAACTGCTTGTAGGATTTTGTTCTTCTGTTGGGTTTCTGGGATCTTGACTATTATATGTCTAGGTGTAGAATTTTTTTGATTGTGGCTAGTTTGAGTTCTATATGCCTCAATTATCTGTATGTCCAATTCTCCACCTCTGTCTGGAAAGTTTTGTACTATTTCTTCTGTGAACAATTTTATGTCATTTGCACGTTCTTCTGCTTTTTCATGGACTCCTATCAGTCTTATGTTATTCTTCTTTGCATCATCTAGCAGCTGCTCGACTGAGTTCTCATGGTCCTTTACTATTATGAAGAAATCTCTATTTTCATGGCCACTAACTGCAATCCTGTTTTCTATATCTGGTATTCTACCTTCACATTTGCTCAATCTGCTATGAATACTTTCAATGGAGTTTTTAATCTCCTTGATATCTGTTTGAATCTGTTTCATGGATTCCATTTCTTTCATATGTTGGGCAATCATGGTTTCAATTTTTTCTTATGCTGAGGATTCATTGCTTCCAGCCTGGTTCTGAGCTCATCTACTTTTTTTATCTGTTTCTGTTCCAGAGCTTCTAATCAAGTCTTTCACTCAGGTCACCAACTCTGTAGTTATCTTGGAAATTATTTCTGTTTTGAATTTTTCTAGAGCCTCATTCATCTGTATTGTTACTTTCTGTGCTATCAGTTCAGGGTGTCCAGGTGGTTGATTGTCATATTTTTCTATCTTGTTTCCCCCAGAATTTGCCTTTGGTGAGCTGGAAGTCTGTGTTTGTGTCCTACCAAAGTGGCTTCTCATTTTTAATTCTATTGTTGGTGCTGTTTTTGCTTTAATTCCTGGGGTGATATTCCAATATTTCATAATTTGAGTATCTTTATTGCTGGTGGTTTGAGCCCCTATGGAGCAATTGCTTCTCAGAGAAATCTTCCAGGTATAGCTGGGCTATTTAGATTTTGAGTCTCTAATGACTCCTAGGCAATCTCATTTTCAGTATACCAGTGATAACATCTGATTAGATCAATCACAATACTTTAGCCCAACTGACACAATCAGCATCAAATAGAGTTTAGAAAATGTAAGTTTGTGCTGGCAGTTAACCTGTCATCTTTCACTGGGGGAGCTAGATCAAAATCTAGGGCCAACCCAAAATCTGTTTGTAGTAAGTATACCCTTCAATATGGCAAATTTCTCTCCAGGATAAGGATTTAGCAGAGTTTGGGGTGGGAGGGGTAGAGAGATAGAGGTAGAGGGAAAGTTTAGAGGTGTGGCTAGAGGACGGGGGAAGATCATGCAAATTGTCTGGATCTGTTGAAGATAGGAAGAGAAGACAGAGTAAAAGAACAGAGACACATACAGAACAACCTGATAACAATAGGGAAGCTGGAAATTGTGTTCACCTTCCTATAAAAGTGACAGTCAAGAGGACAGAGTGAGAAAAAAAGTTCAGAATGGGACAGGAACAGGAACAAAGAGGGAGAGAAATACAGAGCCAGAAGGGATAGAGAGAAAGAAAGAGAAAAAAGAAATATATATAAAGGTCATGGCTAACACTTTGTAGCAAAAGACAAATTAAGACGAAAAAAGCATAACAAAGTCATTTAATCATAGTTTATACAGTGATATGATAGCTTCAGAATGAAGATCCATAGACATGGGAAATGACTATTTTGTGCTCAGATGTGATGAGGATTGGACAAAAAGGCTATGATCTAATGGAATAAAAAGATTTAGCAAGGTCCCACTGTTTTTAACATTTCTTCATTCTGGATATGGGACAGGCTGCCTCTGGAATGAGGGTCTTTTGACCTACTATTGGATAAAGGTCAGAGAATGTCTTTATGGCCAGCTGCAGGTTGGAGTGATATTCCTAATTTTTATGGCTGGCTTTGGAGAAAAGTTCTAGTTTCTATGATTCATTTTGAGGAAGAGAAATTCTAGTGTCTGTGGCTTGCTTGGGGTAACAGGAGTGAGGAAAAAGGGCAGGAGGTTTTAAGGCTGCTTCTGAAGTGGTCATGGAGTGGCCTTTAATTCAAAGTACAGTACTCAGCATGCTAAAGTGCCATGGAGTATCATTTTCAGAAGCTCAGCATTAGTTAAACCAGGCAACCAACAAAAATCTACCATGAGCAGACAGGATTAAGTTTGCCAAATATAGAAAAAAAATCATATCCCTATATTAAAAATTCATGTATGTGAAATTTGGGTTTAACTAGGATTATCCTGTATTTTTTTTTTTTAAATTTGCTCTCTGGGCAAGTAATGTGTCTTTATCTTGGACAGCTTGTGTCTTTAGTGAGGAACCTAGAAATCTGGCTAAGTTGAGAGTGGTGTGATTATCAGAAGGATGGGTTGGAGTACTTGTGCTATATCCTCTAGCTCCTACTACATTATTAAGCTCCCTTGGGGATACTGTGGTTGGGGACTAGGACTTATAAAGTTCTAGTCATGGAACTGGCTTCTGTCTTGCAGAGGCAGGAAAGAAGTCAGAAAGCAGTTTGTGGAGGGTTGGAAAATAGCTAAAGTGGGCAATCTTTTTTGAGACAGGGTCTTGGTATGTAGTTCAGGCACTATGTATAAGGAACTATGTAGCCCAGGTTGGGCTGGAATTCACAGCTGTCCTCCTCCTCGGCTTCCTGAGTGCTGGGTTCACAGGCGTGGGCCACCACACTTGACATACCTACGACTGACTGACTGTACTCCCCAAGAACAAACAGGTTCAGTTACTTAGGCTTTGGATGTAGTCATTGCATCAATGTTTTTGTTTTGTTTTGTTTGAGACAGGGTCTCACTATGTAGTTCAGGCTGGGCTTGAACTCATTATGGAGCCCAGGATGGCCTTGAATTCAAAGTGATCCTCCTGCCTTAGCCTCCAAAGTGCTGAGATTAAGGGCCAGGGATTTAGCTCAGTGATTCCGCCACCTGCCTCCCAAGCTCAAGGTCCCAAGTTCATCCCCGGTACCAAAAAAAAACCACAGCAAAAACTCAAAGTGCTGAGATTACAGGTGTACACCATCACACCTGGTTGCATCAATGTTAATTACATCACCAGTTGTGAATAGCATTTATTTTAGAAATCTTGCAGATGAGGTCAAATTAGGAAGAGGCAGTTTATTCAGTGTACTTTGGTCTCTGGCCAAGGTCTGGCATCATTCCACCCTTCAAGTTCATAGTTTCATAGTTCAGAGGAGCAGGGCAGTTATGCAGGAGAAAGCAGAATGCATGGCAGAGGCTGAGGGAAGACAGGAACAGAACTTGGCGATCAGGGAGGAGGAGGCCAGGCAGAGCCTTGCCAGATGATCTCTTTCCCCAAACTCAGATGTAAATTCTTTATTATTCAGCCACTGAAACTTTCTTTCCTTCAATTTTCTTTCTTTTTTTTTTTTTTCCTTTTTGAGACAGGGTCTCAGTATGCAGTTCAGGTTGGCCTTGAACTATGAGGCCCAGGTTGGCCTCAAATTCTTGGGGATCTTCCTGCCTCAGCATCCCTGAGTCCTGGGATTAAAGCCATGTCACCACATCCAGGCCTTTTCATGTTTGATTATCAGAAACCAAAATCCATTAAAGCCACCTGCTTCCTTTTTCTCCAGGGGTCAAGCAGTCCTGAGAATGGATAGTTGTCCTTACCTGGTTATGAGGAGCAGCATGTTAGCACAACATTGGAGGTCCCAGGGGCCCCAAGGTGCTCAGAGTGGGACAGCATACATCACAGAGGCTGCCCCAAGGAGGGAGGATGCAAGGGCAGAGGCGTTTGTTGATCTTTCACTCTGCAAACTGGTCTAGAAACTTGAGGTAGGCTTGGCGCTTGGGTGCAGCCGCTGGAACAAAATGGCCATGAGTGGGTTAGGGTGATGGCTCCGGGGAATCAGCTAGCCAGTTACATACTCGTGAGAGGGATGACTCGATCAGTATCCCCAAAACCATGGAGCAAAGGCAGTGACAAGGGGCTCTGCATGACAGGTTCTTTGAGGCCAAGGCTCCAGGACAGAAACCAGAGATGAGGATGATAAATCGAGGTAAGGGGAAGCCCAATCTCCAGCCTGTGGCCCAAGGCACACAAGGATTGCTAGTGCAGCCCCCTGGCTGAAGCCCAGAAGTCCATCAAAAGGCTCCAACTTGTTGAGTGCCTGTGCCACTGTTTCCAGGGCTTGTTCCAGGCCCCTGCAGACCGTGGGCTCTTCTAAGGCGTTGAAAACGTCTGCCTCCTCCGAAAACCACCATCCTCGGGACTGCTCCTCCGAGAGGGCAGCCCCCCCCACCCCCCAGTCTGGCCCGGTGCCCTCGGGGGCCCACTGCATCAGGGACTGGGAGGCGACCACTAAGACACACGAGCTCCATGCGGCCCCGCAGCGCCTTCCTCAACGCTCCAGTCTTCTCGTGGAAGCCGTGGTCACTCTGCCGGAAGCCAGCCAGGCACAAGACCCGCAGGGGCTGCCTCGCCACCATGTTGCCAGGCAGTGTGCCTCGGAGACACCGCGGTTTATCCTGTATTCTATCTGCCAACCCTAAGTAATACATAGATTCAAAGATCTGCCGCCCCCAAAAGTTCTTGTCTTAACACAGCATCTGAACACAGCTTCCGGGCCTGTCTCTAGAAACGAACAAGGAGGATACTCCCTAGGCTGTTGCAGTGCATGCTGCCTGCACCAGGTGCTGACTTTCCTGGAGGGTAAAAGGACTACTGGCCTCTGCGGGAGCCCTTCTTTCAGTAGAATATGAGAGGACCTGCGAAATCTGGTGTCTGACTCCTAAAGAGGCTTCAGTCTCTGTCACAGGGCGTAGTCAGAAGACGACCGCCAGACTCCAACATGGCGCTCGCGGAGCCCTCCAGATGCCAAGATGGCGGCACGAGGCTGCGCCTGCGCTCTCGGGTCTCCTCCCCCAATTTTTCTCGGGCAGTGAGCGCGACTCTGACTAACCGGATCGCCGGCTGCTCTTCTGCGGGGGTGGAGGTCCGGACCGCCGCCCGCTCTTCGCCATGCAGCTGCTCTGCAGGTGGCAGCTGCTGCTGTGGGTGCTGGGGCTTTCCGCCCGCGGCCTAGAGGGTGAGTGCAGGCCGGCGCTGGGGCCGGACCGGGGCTGGGGTGGCAGGTGACGGTGTATGAAGCGACCACAAGAGGAGATATCAGCGGGCAAGGCGCTTTACCTGCGCGAAGGCCCGCGTTGTGCGCCTCTCCTCTGGCCAGCATCCTCCTGTGAGCTTCTCTCAGACCTCTCGCCCGCCAGTGGTCGGGAGTAGCGGGCCGGCCGGACAGCCGGGCGGACAGCGCCAGCTGTGGCCTCGCCCCGTTCAGGCCCTTCCAGCAGGCGCCTGGCAGTCCCGAGGGACTGTGTATTATGCGGCTATGAGGGACGCATGCGTAACCTCCTTTGATGAGCACTTTATTATTAACCATCATCATCATCATGAGGAATAGCTGATTTTTTTTTGTGGCCTTACTAAAACCCAGGAGCTGTGAATAGTACTTTACATTTTTATTTCGTTTAGCTCTTCCACCAACCTTGTGAGACAAGTTCCATTAGTTTGGTCAGAGGCTAAACAATCTGCTCAAGTCTGCACTTCTGGTAAATGGCAGAGCTTAAGTCTTTAACTTCAAGGACACGCTGGAGTTCACCCTGCTGGACTACTTTTTGTAGGCGACCAGTCTTGCCCAGGTGTCTGCATAAAGGACAAGCTGGAAAAACAACAGGAGACTCCCAGGGTCATGGTGGCAGACCCCTTGAAGTGGGGAATGCTGCCATGCTGGAGGCATGGCTGGAATGGGCAGCAGAGGCCTTACGCCACAGCTTCTTCATTCCATTTCTTACTGTCCTGTTAAGTCCGGATCCATTGGCTTTGCTTGTCATTCATATCTTAACAGAAATAGACAAGTCTTTCCTTTCCCTGGGATTTCCCAGGAAGGAGGTGGGGCAGCAGACTGTTGCTGAGCTGCTAGAAGGGTGAGTGATAGAGACACAATTACTATTAATGAAAGCACCCACTGTGCAACATTTTCAGTGCTTAGTGCTCTTTGAGCATCGTCTTATTCTTTAACTGCTCTGTGGTAGATATTATTATTCCTATTTAATAGATGAATAAACTTTAGTAAGTCCTCTGCCAAGGCTGTACAGCCAGAAGTTGAGGAGCCATGATGGAAACCTGTGTCTGCCTGACCTCATAGCCAGGCCTCTGTATTTTCACTACTTTTTAAAAATTAAAATTAAAATTTTTTTCCAGTGCCTGCCTTGCAAGCACAAGGTCCTGAGTTCGATTTCCAGTACCAAAAATACAAACAAAATTTAAATTTTTATTAGTACATGTTTGCAGTACATAATGATTACATTCATCCTGGGGAGTTGGTACATATACATAACACATCTTAATTCTTTTTTCATATCCTTCTTTCCCTTTCCACCCTCCCTGTGTCTCTTGGTCCCCTTCCCATTGGGAAAAAGATCCACCTCCCTGTTTTCTATTATCTATCTTTTATTTTGCTTTTTATTTATATTTTGAGTTTCTTATATAAAAGAAACCATGCAATATTTAAGCTTGTGTGTCTGATTTATTTCGCTTAACATTATGATCTTAAGGTGCATCCATTTTCCTACAAATGACTCAAGTTTATCATTTTTTTATGGCAAAGTAGTATGCCACTGTGCATAAATACTGTATTTTCTTTATCCATTCATCTGTTAATGGACATAGAGGCCACTTCCAAGATTTAGCTTTGGTGAATTGTGCTGCTGTATAACATAGTATATGTTTATACATGGGTATGTATGTATCACCATAATATGATGTCTTGAACTCTTGGGAAGATACATAGAAGGGGAATAGCTGGGTCAAATGGAATTTCTTTTCTTTCAGTACCGGGGATCAAACTCAGGACCTTTTGCTTGTAAAGCAGGCACACGGTGCCACTGATCTAAATCCCTGGCCCTGGAATTTCTAATTTTAGTTTTTTGAGGAATCTTTATACTGATTTCCATAGTGTGTGTCTAGTAGTTTATACTTCCACCAACAATGTAGAAGCCCCCCGCCCCCAGCCTTGGCAACATTCAGTATTTGATTTCTTGATGATAGCCATTCTTTCTGGGGTAAGACGGAATCTCAGTGTTGTTTTAATTTCCATTTCTCTAATAACCAACGATGTTGAACATATTTTATGTATTTATTAGCTACTTGTACTTCTGAGAAGTATCTGTTCACTTTGCTTGCCTAGTTTATGATTGGTTTTTTACATTTTGGGGTGGGTCTAATTTTTTAATTGCTTTATATACTCTATGCTATTAGTCCTCTGTCCAAGGAATAGCTGGCAAAATTTTTCCCATTCTGTAGGTTGTCTCTTCACTCTGTAGATTGCTCTCTTTGCTGTGCAGAAGCTTTTTTTTTTTTTGGTACCGGGGATCAAACTCAGGACCTTGCACTTGTGAGGCAGGCGGTGGAACCACTGAGCTAAATCCCTGGCCCTGTGCAGAAGAAGCTTTTTAATTTGATATAATCCCATTTGTTGATTCTTGATGTTTCACTTCTTGTGCAGTTTGGGTTCTTTTTAGAAAACATGCCTATGTCTCCAAGAATTTTACCTATTTTATCTTCCAGCAGATTGTTTCTCCCTTAATATTAACTCTACATATCTTTTCACATTTCATCTTCATAGTAGCCTTGTAATTGCATTTTGGTGAGAGATACGGGTCTAGATTCAACCTTCTGCTTAGGTATAGCCAGTTTTCCCAGCACCATTTCCTAAAAGAGGCGATCTTTCCTCCAGAGTATGTTTTTTTGTTTTTGTTTTGTTTTGAGCCTGTAGTTCGGGCTGGCCTTGAATTCTCTATGTAGTCCAAGCTGGCCTTGAACTCCCTGGCTCAGTCTCCTGAGTGCTTGGATTATAGGCGTGGGATACTATGCCTGGCCTCCAGCATATGGTTTTTGTCTCTTTGTCAAAGATCAGATAGCTGAACGTGCCTGGAATTGTTTCTACATCCTCTGTTGTGTTCCACTGATTTACAAAATTGTTTTTGTGCCAGTATATATTCTTACCACACTTAACTGACAGCCTCATAGAAGGGAAGACATGTGTGGAATAATAACTGGCTCTCCTGCCTTAGTCCTTTGGGTTGGAGTGAGGGAAGAGTAAGGTCAGGGTGTTGATTCTTTCAGCTCCCTCCCTCAGATGTTGTCATAGACTGGCTTGTCCCCTTCCCCTCCCCCCCCAGACAGCAGTGCTAGAAACCTGCTGTGTGCACTGTGCTTGCTGTTTCAAGGTTCTGTGACTGCTTCTGTCTCTGGACCTAGGAGGTCTGTGAGTGGTAACTGGGTCCCCTCTGTAGGGAACAGGGGAAGGGGACGTTACCAGAACCTCTGCAGTTAGTCCTGGTCTCCTGTGAGCCACGGCAGCACAGGGCGAATTACAGGAAAGGTAGAAAAATGAGACTGAGAAGGTGAGCTTTGGGTCTGATCAGTGCTGCTCTGGGAGGCAAAGACAAAAGCCCCCAGTTTACCACACCTTTTATTCAGTACCTCTTGTAACCAATGACTTGCAGAGAATTCATTACATCGGGAGAAACAAATGTAACAAATAACTTGCAGAGAGTTCAGTAGTTCACATTGGGATAAACAAGGTGTAACGGAAGGCTTGCGGAGAGTTCAGTACATCTCGGGTAAACAAGATGTTAACAGTCCAAGAACAACGAGGAACTAAGCAGATGTTTGTTCTCCCAGGATGTTTCTTGTCCTGGAGAATCACAGAATCACTGGATCACTGAAGTCTCAGTTGTTACCGGAGGCTAAACTGGAGTTATTCTGTAGCTGGGCTATAGGCAAGAGAACTAGGCTAACCAAATGAATTTTCCCCTAGAATTATGTAGCATTGCTCCCAACACCCCTCTGCTGTTCTTGGCCTTGGAGTTTCTTACTATTGCTCTTAGTTTCTCTATGCTCAGCCCATGCATTGGTGGTTCCTTATTAAGTGCTCAACTTGCCCAAGTGAAATATATTGTTTCCTAGCAGAACCCTGACTGACTCGGGGACTGACTTATTCATTGTAGTCAATGTGAGCCCACCTTGCAGTGAGTGTCACGTTCATCCTGATCCTGAGGATGAGTGATCATGTCATGGCCAGACCATGCTGGGGTGTAAGGATGGAGGAAACTTTACCAGCTGGTTCCTTCCCAGAATGACTGAAAATCCAAAGCCCTTTTTTTCCTCCCTTGCAGAGGTTACCACTGTCAGATTAGCAGCTGGAGGAGACAGTGCTGCCCAGGTGCCCAGGAATGGGAGTGAACTGGCTTCAAGACCCCTATACATCTTAATTAGTCAGTCAGCTACCAAATTCTTACTAAGTACCTATCACATTGCTAGGTACCAGGTGTGGGGTATGTGTGTGTGTTACGGTGATGAGCCAGACAAAGCAACAGGCCTACCCTACTGTCTGGTGGACAAGGCAGGCATTAAATGGCTATAAGTAAGTAAATTACAAGAATGGATACAAGGAGAGTCCCAGAGCATTACTGGGTGCTGTATGGAGACTGCCCACTCTGGTCTGAGGGTCAGGGAAGATGTCCTTACAGAGGTGAAGTTTAAATTGAACTCTGAGGAATTAATTGGATTAGACTAGAGAAGAGAGAGATTGGAGGGCTTTCCCACAAAGAAACAGCCCCCATGAAGGCTCTGAGGCAGATGAGGGAGAGTAAGTGATCAGGGACCAGAGAGTACAGAGGCCACATCACAAGGCCTGGCAATAATACTACAACTGCAGACTCATTCAAAGGGCAAAGGAATCCATCAGACGGGTTTTAGCAGCAGAGAGACATAAGATTTACCTCTTAACTTTCAGTTCCACTTGGATTGCAATGATGAGCAGGATCTGGAGGGGGATAGAGGGCTCACCAGGGAAACCACTTAGAGAGCGGCAGTAATTGTACAGGTGCAAGATGGCTGTGGCCTGGGCTGGAGATGGGAGAAAGTGGATGGATTCTGAATGGAATTATCAGGGGAATTAATAGAACTTAGTTATGGTGACTTTTCATCTCTTTAAATTGTAAATACCCATTTTCACCATTAACCCGACCATCATCACTGCAGCCATTTATGGAGTGCTTACCATGTGCTGGGGACCATGCATATCTTTTCCCATTTCACTTCATAGCAGCCTTGTATTTGCATTTTGGTGCATCCCCCCCGCCCCCCCCCCCCCATTTATTAGATGAGCACAGAGAGTACTGTACTGCCTTTGAGAAATACGGATTGCTGACCCTCCAACGTCTGGTTTTGGACCTCCCCAGTTGGCTTCCCAGCCACAGTGGCCATTGTGAAAAAATCTGGAGCTGGTAGAAAACATCCCAAGAAGGCTGGAAGAGTGGGAAGGTGCCAACCTATATGAGTAGGCAGAGTGCTACATTCTTGTTTTCTAAACAACTTCCTTGCAGCCAGTGATGCAACGATTTTCACTTTATCCTTGGTTCACATAGTATGTCTTTTTAAATTTTAGTTTGGAATAATTATTCATTGTTTCTTTTCTTCCTAATACCTAAATGAAAACATTGGTATCTGAAGGCATAAGAATGTTTTTGCTCCTAATCTGTACTGTGTACATAAATATCTTCACCAGGGAGGAGAGACATAACACTGGTACTCCTGAATTTAAAATACTGTCTGTGTTAGTTACTTTTCTCTTGTTGCTGAGACAAAATACCCAACACCCAAAGTTAACGGGTTTATTTAGCTCATAGTTTATAGGGGTTTCAGTCCATAATCAGCTGGCTCCAAGGCAGAGTGGCAAATAGTAGAGGAGCATTACAGAGGAGAAATAGTTCTTGGCACCCACACGGTAGCAAAAGCAACAAGGGAACCTTAACAGCATCTTTCTGCTCCTTTTGTCTTATCCAGACTACAGGGATTAGGGTGGTACCAAATCAATCAGTGTACTGGTTTAGTAATCACATGCCCTTAATCCCAGCATCACACTGTAGATCCAGCCACCTCTGAAAAAGCCACCTATGACCATATGAGGCTTTGGAGGGACATCTAGACCCAAACCATAACACCAGCTCTACGAGCTCTGTATACTGTGCTGAGACTCCATTTTGCTTTTCTGAGGGGAACATCTATCTGAGGGTGATCAAAGACAGCCAGATTCTAAATTGTGCCCTGATTTTTGAGTCATTCAGTGTTCTAGCTTTTTTGTGAGTCTCTCTCTTTGTGTGTAGCTCTGGAAATGAAATCTAGGGTCTCACACATGCTAGCAAGAGCTCTTTCACTGAACTACACCCCCAGCTCAAGCATTCTTCATTTATTTATGGGACCTAGAATGTTGACTAGATTAGCAAGGGTAGATCACAACAGAACCTGCATTGTTTGGCCTGGAACCTGACACCCTTCTTTCTTTCCTAGATTCTTAGCTTCTGGATTCTTTTCCTGTTTTGTTTTGTAAATGACACAGCCAACGTGTTTGTCTTTTGGGCTGATAATACAAGCAATATATGCTGATCAACCAAAGAGTATAGAAAGACTGCCAAAGTAATCCTTGCCTCACCAAATTGCCAAAGCTCCTTGCCCAGCCACCTAGCCCCTTCTCTCTAGTCAGAGGAGTACTTGACTCACCAGGTTCACTTTGCTGCCCAAGCCCTCAACTGCATCCCTGTCAGTTTTGTATGTCCTCAAATTGTTCCTAGGTCCTAAAACCAAAATAGAAACCTCCCTTAGCTTTTTGTCTGCCTATAGCAATTACCTTATTCAACTTGTCTCCTTTACAGCAAGACTTTTAGAAAGAATTGTGTATGTTTATATAGGTAGTTATATTTCTTGGTATTCTTTATTCCTTTATGTGGATCCATATTTCCATCTAAAATCATTTTTCTTCTGCTGACAAAAATCTTAAAGCATAACTCTTTCTGAAGGAGTTATGCTTTAAGATTTTTGTCAGTCTAGGGACGTAGTTCAGTGGTAGAGTGCCTTGGGCTGGGGATTTAGCTCAGTGGTTCTGCCGCCTGCCTAGCAAGCGCAAGGTCCTGAGTTCGATGCCTGATACCAAAAAAATAAAAAAACAAAAGTGGTAGAGTGCCTCACATGCACAGAGTCCTGGGTTCAGTCCCCAGCAGAAGAGGAGGAGGAGGAGGAGG